AGACCTATGTGAATTGTTAGTTGTTGTTCCAGAAAACAGTGGAGGAAGAATAGATTTGACTCTGAATCTTATGTTTCTCTGAGGCCTAAAAATAGCAGGTAGAATATAGAATTTTACGGGTCACTAAAATACTAACGTTACACGATGATGGAAGCAGAGCTAGGTGTCACCTTTGTGCTTACTTCCTTCAGCACCAAGGATAGAGAGAATAAATGATCACACTTGTGAAATCACATGGGAGGTTCTGCAGCCCATGAAGGGTGATCCAGTTATCTACTGTCTTCAGGTCATGGTGGGAAAAGACTCAGAATTCAAACAGGTATGATGTGTATTTTTCTTCAAGTACTATTTGTGATAACTAGTTCAGTAAAATTAGTTTACTAAAGACTGTGTTCCAGTAGATTTTTAGTCACCATGCTAACTTTCTGGTAGTATCTCTTAAAGTATATAAGGTAGTATCTCTTAAACCCATCATCACGTAGAAAGGAGATTTAAGTAATATAAATTCTGCAGTAAGTTGCAGCCTCTGTGGGATACACTGATGTTTACAACTTGACATCTCAAGTGGTGAGGAAGTCATCCATTAATGGGAACAACTGACAAAATGAAACCAATGGTACATAATTGAGACTGAGGAGAAAAGGAGCAAAGGGTTCTCTTTTCATCAAGAGCTGTTTGAAGGCAGTAAACAATATTATAAAAGCTTTGATTTTGTTCAAGCCATACTTTTTTGTAGAGAACTACAGAGGAAAGCCCCCTACTAAGACAATGTAGACATTCAGTTGTAGGAAACTTTTGTGATTAGGTTTTCACCATAGGACCATTTCAGCAGCAGGGCCTGCTATAACTACAAAGGTTGAGCTGTTTCCTACCATTTCCCTGCCAACATTTCACTCTCCTCTTCTCCTTCTCCCTGATGCATTGCCCAGATTGCTCATGTCATTGCTTCTTCTGTGCTAGAGACAAAATAAGGTAGTAATCTGCTGTATGAGCTATATACATCAGTCTAAGCTCTTAAAGGCATTAGGAAGCAACCATATAAATACCCCAGCAAATACATTTGAGGGAAAGGCAACTTTTGGCAAGGCACTGAGGACAAGCAGCTGAGTACAGTAACCCCTGCCAGCTGGCGTAGCAGTAGAGTGTCAGTGGCCTGTTTGCTCACTACCAAACACACGATCCAAATTAGCAGGATTTTGAGGAAGCTGAACTTCCAATGACCTGTCCTGCCTCAGAAAGAAAAGTCTCTAGGTTGTAGATTCCAGTAAAGCCTGGCTGTCAGAGGACTTTCTAAGTAGGACTAAGGACTTTCTAAGTCCTTGAGTAGCCACAAGCACAGCAAGAGCTCTTCAAACAGCAGAATTGGAAGGGATTTCCTTCTTTTATTGAATAGTCAGTAGTTTGCATTTGTGAAATACTATCTAACAGTATGGTAACTGTAGGGAGGAAAGGTCCTGCATGATGTGATATTTCTGTATCCTGTTACCAGTTAAATAAAGGAAATCCGGATATTGGGAGGTAGAAGGGTGAAGGGGTTTAAAGAGAGAAATCAAATTGTACTGTGCTACCCACCTAATAGTTCAGTACCTGTTGATGTACCTGTAACTGTACCCACGTCAGGTTTTTATTGGCTTTCACAGGACCTTTACGTAGCTGTGAATTTATTTAATTTGAGAAACCAGCATTTAGATTTCACTGAATTAGGCACTCATGCTGAAGAGTTGTGAACTCATGCTAACCAGCCAACTGAGACACCTTTGCATAACACCCTCATAAGTCATATCTGTCTTGGGAATATGATGAAATTAGGAATCACTGAGAGGATTCCTTGCAGCTTTCCTGATACAGTGTTTATTGGAATAAATTATAATATTTTAAATACACAATATCTTTACTACAACAAAGCATGTTGGATTGTATTAGACTTATTGAATTAGCTTTATACAGAGTTAACTGCCTAAAATTCCATGATAATGATATTTTATATTACACCTAATTATAAGGGGTCACTAAAACACCTTAACACTGGGGCTTCTGACAGAGTTTGGTGTGTACTCATCATTCCATAAAAGCAAATGTAGTTCTTGTGTTTCACCAAAAGGACTGGAGAGTTTATCTGGCATTTAAATTGCAAGTTTGAGCTTCTTGTCCATTTTTCTTTGCATGGGTGAAAACACTGGTGAGTTGTCATCAACCATACTGAGATACATACGTATACAGGACTTTTTACTCGACGTATCTTTCTTTGTTTTCCTTCATTGCCAGATCTATAAGGGTCCGGACTGGTCATTCCGATACACAGGCCTCCAGCTGAACTGTGAATACCGTTTCCGCGCATGTGCCATCCGACAGTGCCAAGAGACCACAGGTCACCAGGACCTGGTAGGCCCCTACAGCGCACCAGTGCTATTCATCTCTCAGAGGACTGAACCACCGGCAAGCACCAACAAGGACACTGTGCAAACCACAAGGACACAATGGTCACAGAGCGACCAAGTGTGTGCTGCTGTCATCCTTGCACTTTTTGCTATCTTTTCCATTCTGATTGCTGTTATCATTCAGTACTTCGTCATAAAGTGAAGAAAAGAGATCTATTTTATAATGCTGCCCATTACATTTTACTTTCTCATAATCTAAAAGTAATTCTGTTCTCTTGCTTTTACAAAAACAGGCATTTAGCACCGGCATTGAGACTGATGCAAACCTTTTCAGCCACTTTAAAACGCTTAGTCATAGGTATAGGCTGACACATGTTATTAAAATGCAAGCCACAGAAATATAATCTTTTCTTTATATGCCTTCTTGCAGTACAAACTCGATATGGGGCAGGCACACAGTGTTTAATGAAAAGGGTTTGACCATTAAACATGAGTGTAAAGATGATTTCCTGGCCCACACTTCTAAAGGTTGCTACCGAAACAGGGAAGAATGTGTAGATCGCATTTAAAACTTACACTAACAAACTTGTGCTGTATACAATATTAATCTGATGCTGTGAAAGCAATTTAGCGCTGTATTTCTACCTCCTCATTTGTCTTAATTATTTGGGAAGCAGGATTTATGCTGAAAAACAGAAGGGGCTTTTCTCAGGCAGCAAATAATAAATTGAATGGAAGAGCATGCATGAAGGAAGCTTCTTACCTGATAAATGTGGAGTTCTTCACTGCAAGTAGACATTTTCGAAGGACTACAAGGAGATGGCACAAGTGGTTTATCTTACCCCCAGGATTTGATGTTTACTTACAAAAATGCCTCATTTACTTGTTCTGAATATAGAAGGGAGGGTGTGAGAACTTCTTAGACTTATTATTTAAATTGCAAAACACATTTCTGAAGCTGACCTTTGATTGGATGCAGTTTATACCGATGTCTGTACCCTCTGATTTTGGCTAGTTAATAGAATTTTGAGATAAAACTCACTGAATTTTTGCTGTTTCCCCAACATTCACTTGCCATGTCCACCAGAAACAAGCACTGCCTTTGTTTATTTGTTTTCTTTCTTTTTTTTTTTTTTTTTACTTTCTTTCTTTCTTTCTTTCTTTTCTTTGGGGCACCAAATCAGAAGACGAAGTGTAGTAATTTGCACCAGAAAACTTAAAGCTGCTTTTTTCTTGAGATCCTAATGTTTAATGTAATGTCTCTTTGGATACTGTACCAAATTGTTGATTGCATGTAGTTAATGTTGCATTAGAGCACTTTGCAATTGCATAACTCATCAATGTTTTGTGAGCTTGCATTTGTGAGTTCTTGAATGACCAGACTGAACTTTAACAAGTATCCCATTGAACATCTTGCTAGATGTCAATGATTGCCAGTGACACAAAGCTTGTAGTGAAACTTATCTTTAAAAAAAAATCCTTGTCTCATCACACTTATGTTATTTGTTATACACTTTGTAATTAGCTATTTTTAATTTATTTGAGTTACAAGATAGTGGATCATTAATGGCTTCTAGTTGTGTTCAGTTTAGCATTTTTAATGGTATTAAACACTTCTGTCAGTCTTAATAATAATAAAAAAGGAACCTCTGTCTTGTGCTTTGAAGATCTCTGAAGAATTTCTCTTATATTAGAACGGGCATGTATTGTAATTGTTTATACGTCCAACAATCTGTGCTGTAGAATAATGTTGTTGAGTTCCATTTTTTAAAGAAAAAAAAAAAAAGAAATGGCAAAGAACTTGGCCTCCACATGGCGAGAATGATCTGTCTTTAAAATGTACTGTATGTTTACATTTTATTTCAAATTTGTCGTTTGTACGTATAGGCTGATACCTTCCCACAGGATACCGCGATAACTGATGTTTTCTAGAACCTTCTTAAAAGTGCCATGTTTGGCAGTGCAAATGAGGTTGCGTGTCACAGCCCAGAGATTTCTTACGGTTGAATGTCTAAAACGGTAAGATTTGTTACTGCAGGTAACCCGCAGTGACCTACGTTTTTCATAGTAAAATTCAAATGAGCTCCTATTTTTGATAGTCATTTAATAGTGTATTTGCCATTTGAGCCTCAGTGCATATTATTGCATTGAAGACAGTTTTTAATGTAATCTTAATTTTACCTCATATACTGTACATTCCAAAAATAAATAAATAAAAGAAAAAGAGAAACTCTAAAGTTTTTAAAACGCTATAGATACACTACCAAACATATCACTTTGCGGTTGTACAACGTCGGGCTCCATGAAGACGAAATCTGTATAGTCTGATAGAAAATACATAAAACGATGTAGCAAAGTACCTTTAAGAGTCTGTGGACAATAAAAGTACCTTCTTTTTCGCTGCTGGTGGTCAGTCCTGTGCGCGCTCCCCCGCCGCCCCTCTCCCATCCCTCCTTCCCTGCCTCCCTCCCTGCCTCCCTCGCTGCCGGGGCCGGGGGCGGGGCGGGGGCGCGGTACCTGCGGGCGGCGGGAGCCCCGGCGGGGGCGGGGACGCGGCCGGGGACGGGGACGCGGCCGGGGAAGGAGCGGCGCTGCCCCGGGCACGGCGCGTCCCCCGGCGGGATGCGCGGCGGCGGCGGCGGGAACGGCAGCGAGGGCGAGCCGTGGCCGTGGCCGTGGCCGCCCTGCGACGAGCGGCTGTGCCCGGCGGTGCCCCTGTGGGTGCTCGTTCCCATCACGGCCATCTGCCTGGCGCTCTTCGTGCTCGGAGTGGCGGGCAACGTCCTCACGGTGCTGGTCATCCGCAGCTACCGCGACATGAAGACCACCACCAACCTGTACCTGGGCAGCATGGCCGTCTCGGACCTGCTCATCCTCCTGGGGCTGCCCTTCGACCTCTACCGCCTCTGGCGCTCCCGGCCCTGGATCTTCGGGCAGCTGCTGTGCCGCCTCTCCCACTACCTCAGTGAGGGCTGCACCTACTGCACCCTCCTCCACATCACCGCCCTCACCGTGGAGCGCTACCTCGCCATCTGCTTCCCCCTCAAGGCCAAGGTGGTCGTCACCAAGCGCCGGGTGAAGGCCATCGTCGGCGTCCTCTGGGCCTTCGCCCTCCTCTCCGCCAGCCCCTTCTTCTTCCTCGTCGGCGTGGAGCAGCCCGACAACCACACCGCCTTCAGCCGCGAGTGCAAGCCCAACCCGCAGGCCTTGCAGTCCGGCCTGCTGGCCACCATGTTCTGGGTCACCACCTCCTACTTCGTCCTGCCCGTCATCTGCCTCGGCGTCCTCTACGGCTTCATCGGCCGGGAGCTGTGGCGGAGCAACACCCGCCTGCGGGGCCCCGGCTCGGTCCTCCGGCAGAAGGGGCACCGCCAGACAGTCAGGATCTTGGGTGAGTCCCTGGGCTATGGCTGGGGCTAGGACCGGGGCTAGGGGGCCGTGGCTGGGCTTAGAACCAGGGCTGAAGCACCTGCAGCTCCCGAGCAGGATAGGGAATAGCATAGGGGGACATCCCAGCCGTGGTGCTGAGCCCATCAGTGCACTCCGGGAACTGCCAGGGCAGGGATTTTGCACCCTCAGAACTGAGGCTTCTACTCGTGTAGGATTGCACATCCAGCAGCACGATTGCCTTCTGTAGAAATACCCTTTTTCTAAATTTTACCAGCCAGAACTGAGTACAAGGTAGTCTGCAACTTCAGTAAAACTATGGTAACATCAGCAGTCCCTTCCAGTGGGCAGCAACAACCTCTGAGCAAAAAGTTCTACTTCTGAAAAATAAGTTTGAGTTCCTTAGTGGTCACTTGTAGCTCCTGTAGGAGTGCATCCACTGGTTGCCCAAGGAGGCTGAGAAAAAGCAACTTTAACCCCTACGAGCTGTTTGAAGACAACCCATATAATACCAAAACACTGCCTACAGATGTAGGATGCTGTTCATTTTTAGTTTATTTTTTTAGTCATACATTAACCCAGCATCAGGCTCTGGAAGGCTAGAGATCACAGTCTGCTCTGAGTCTCTAAAGTAATGACAAATCTGAAGGGGGGAAAAAAAAAGGGAAGGGAAAGGAATGAAAAAAGAAATCCAACTATTGACTAAGAAGCATAAAAACAATGCCCTTGGTATTTTTTCTTTATATCTTTAGTGTAGTTTTTACATGCCACACAGAGAGATTCTGCCACACGGAGACTTCTTTTACCAAGGATCAGTTAGTAAATCAAGGATCAGGTAATCAACTGGACTGAAGTAGTGTATCGAAAAGGAAAGGAGCTAATAAGCCTGAGAGAATTTTGCTGACTTAATCAAGGAAGGTATTTACATTGAAACGGGCACAAGATTTTCCAACAGAAACACCCATATCCATGATCTCCTCAGAACCCACTGAGCCAGACCAACGCTCCCTTATCTCAAAGAGCCAGGAGCACTGTGTGTGTGGTGTATTTCAGATGTAAACTTCCTTTGGCTATAGCCCTTTTTTTTTTAAGCTCTGAGAAACACAGAGAATGCTCCATAAATTATTGTTTTACTTACATGCATTCATAAACAAAAGTAATTAAAAGTATGGATACTGTAATGCACTTATTTAATTATTCCTCATCTGCTCCTGCTGTGTTGCTATTGCGAGAGTGTTTGTATTTGTTTGCATTGTGCTAAAATGCAACACGAGCCCAGGAGAACAGCTGCAGTGACTCAGGCTAGAGATCCATCTAGTAAAATATCTGTCTCCAGCAGTAATTGTCTGGGGATATGTGCTGGAACTTCAGTGGAAAAAATCAATAGCCCAACTACACTGTAAGTCTTTACGTTAAATCCCGTCCCACCACAATAGTGCAGACTCTGTGGGAGCTTGGGTGACTGACGTGCAGCCTTGGTCTTTTTCGGTGATGTAAACATGTTAAAGAACAACTCTGCAGCGAAAGGAGCTGCTGTGGAGCTTTGTCAGAAACAGCTCTTCTTATTCTGAGTTCTGTTTTGACATCGCATACATGGCATTACAGACGTTGCCGAGGGGGACCTCTGTTCTGCCTGATGTTAAATGGTGTAACCTCCGTTGGTTGTTTACATTTTGCTCAGCAAACTCATCTCGCTGTTTAGCTTAAGATTTTACCCATTACCTTTTAATCCAGAGACTAACAGTCACACTTGATGCCATTCCCATTTTCATGGTTTTCCAACAATTTACTGCCATTACTTCTACGTATTGTTTGCATCAGTCAGAAGAACATGCAAAATCAGCCACGTAAAATGTAGTTAACTGTACGGTTGAAAAGTTAACTCGCTCCTTAACTGCCGCATATGTTATTTTGTCTTATAGCTGTGGTGTTTCTGGCCTTTGTAATTTGCTGGTTGCCTTTCCACATTGGCAGGATCATATTTATAAACACCCGAGACGTGAGGACGATGCTGTTCTCCCAGTACTTTAACATATTTGCTCTGCAGCTTTTCTACCTGAGCGCATCCATCAACCCTGTCCTCTACAACCTCATGTCAAAGAAGTACAGGGCGGCAGCCTACAAGCTGCTGTTGCCGCGCCGAGCTGCGGAAAGGGCTTACACGGTAACAAAAGATGCTAGTGGCTACACAGAGACCAGCGCCAGCACAAGGAACGAGTACACCACCAGCTTCTGAGGCTGCAACCTGCACTTTTTTCAGGCGTTCTTGCCTGAGGAAGGAAACTTCCTTTTCACAGGAGAGTTGTAAAAGGATGGACGTTTGTTAGGGCGTGTGGTATTTCATAATTGTTTGTGTTTTGGAATATACAGGTATTTGTGAATACCTGTATTTTTGTTAACGGAGCAAGCGGGCACCATAAAGTAGGTGCAACTCGTTCAACTCATGAAAGACGAGGAACAGTAAATTGCCAGTAAAACTGTGGGTTTACTTTATCTGTGTTGTTCGTTGCATATCTTCTGTGCAATTTCTAATATTTTCTAAAAATCATAACATTGAGGACTGCAAAGGAGCACTTGTTGGGTTCAGCAATGGGCAAAACTCCCAGACTGCCTTTGCCATTTTCAAATGGTTTTCTTATAAATGAGATTGTACAAAACACCATCTCATGGAGACGGACACAAAAAAAAAAATCACCCTCCAACTTAAACAGCCCAGGAAGAAGAGGTATATGTTTTCAGTACCTGGTCTTGTAATCATGAAGGGTACTTTCCTGGGCAGTTTCAGTAACTCTTCCCTCAAGAAAGCATCTGCACTGCACAGCAGCCTCTGGGCTTAACCCTTTTGGTCTGCTCCATGTGATCAAAGAAAGTTTCATGTTTATATGCTAGCAGCCAGTCCTCTGTATTTGTAAAAGTTCAGATATTCCAGATCATTTCCTTGTGATAGATGTGTAGTGTATGGCAGATGTTAGTGCTCTGTGTCCACTGTGTCCTGTTGTGTACTGTGTGTGCAAATAATACACCAAGTTAACCCATCTTGCCACAAAGGAGACCCGTCACCAAACATGCTGGACTATGCCCAGGACTTACTGCTGTGTAGCGCTGCACTGCAAGTCAAGAGCCAACCCACTAATTCTGCTCCAAAAGATTTTAAATGCAAACTTCAGCTGTACAATTTAGGAAGGAGGCTGGTTGTGAGAAAAAGCTAGAAGGAGCTGCAGCACTGATTTCTCTGGAGGATTGTCGCATCTGTGCATCTTACCTGGCTGTAGTGATGTAAATCTGGACCAGAATCTCTGAAGTGGGACTGTTCTTACAGGAGCATCACTGATGGTATGTCAACATTTGCACTTGGTTCTCTGTTTACTCCTCTTCCAGGTAGTTGTAGAAAGTGATACGGTCCCCCCTGAGCTTCCTTTTCCCCAGGCTAAACAATTCCAGCTCCCTCAGCCATTCCTCGTATGACTTACTGTCTAGACCCTTCCCCAGCTTCACTGCCCTTCTCTCCATTGAAGTGCTCCAGCACCTCAGTGTCCTTCCTGAACTGAGGGGCCCAGAACGGGGCACAGTACGCAAGGTGTGTCCTCACCAGTGCCGAGTACAAGGGAACACTGCCCTGGTCCTGCTGGCCCCGCTACTGCTGATACAGGCCAGGATGCCATTGGCCTTTTCGGCCACCTGGGCACACTGCTGGCTCATGTTCAGCTGCTGTCAACCACCACCTACAGGTCCTTTTCCGCTGGGCCACTTTCCAGCCACTCTTTCCCCAGCCTGTAGCACTGGGCTATGATATAGGATCATGGGGTTGTTGTGGCCCAAGTGCAGGACCCAGCACTTGGCCTATTGAGCCTCATATAACCCGCCTCAGCCCACTGATCCAGCCTGTCCAAATCAATTCAACAGAATTCAACAGCTAGCTCAGAGATCTCAGGATGGCAGAATTGAACCCAAGCCTTTTCCAGGTTTTAAAAATATGACCAGTTCTCCAAACAATCTGTAACTCTGAGTCACCAAATAAAAAAAAAAAATCTAAAGACAGAAAAAGTTTCCTATCTCACTGAATACATATTAAGCTTTCTTTTTTTTCTTTTGTCAGCTTCATACTGTTGGAGATCAGTTGTCTGCAGGGCTTGGCTTGGTTTGCTTTTGCTGCAGGGTGTCATTAAAATGTTAAGTTATCATAAAAGAACAGCTGTTATTTTGTGGGTTTTTTTAGACAAGTTATTACTAACAGTAATCTTTGTAAATGTATGTAGGCCAAGGGGGGAAAAAAAAAGCTTTGTCACAATGATATGTGGACGTGGAGCTTCTTCTGCATGCCTGTGGTCTCCTGATAATGGCTTTCTTTTATCAATTTTTATCAAGTTACTAAATTGCGCTGCGAGGTAAACAAACACTGGCAGAAATTTCCCCGAAAGCAATTGCGTAGGTACCGTGAGCACAAGATGTGAGTGGGAGAAGGGAGGGAAATGCCCTGGTGGGTTGCTGCCCTGAACCCCCTTTTCTAGGGTGCGCTCCCTTCCGCACAGAGCCCTGGCACAGCTCTGCTCTCTGAGCGTGCTGGGTTGGTCCCTCTCGGTCGGGACCAGGCTCGCAAATTGATCACAAACTGCTCGTGAGGTGACTGTGTTCCTGCAGGGAGCTTCAGGCTTGGGCTGCTCCTGCCTGGCCTCAGACACCACAGCAGCAAGCCTCTGCTCCCAGGGGCAGACTCTGTGGAAATGGTCTGGTTTTCTGGGAAAATCATTCGTATCCCTGTTATAAATATCTTCTTTGCCTGCTTAGTAGAGTAACGCAGGCGGCAAACTACACTTGTGAGATTATGGTGACTTTTTGTTAATGCTCTCTACCCACCAGAACAAATGCTGAGGAAACAGATGAAGTTTGGGGTATTTCCTCAGAATTAACCAGGCCTGGCACTGCTGTCTCTGGTGGTCGGTACTCAGTTGTGTAAGGAGGGATGTTGTAAATAAAAAGAAATAGGACGTATTTATTGCCAGGAATTCTGTTCAGGTGCAGCCAGGCTATCTTTAGTGTCCATGCCATGCCGGCTATAAAATACAAGGGAAAATGGACTACAGGTGCAGAGCAATTTTGACAGGCAGAGAGAAATAAATTATAATTTTAAAAAGAGAGAAAAGTGGGGTGGGGGGTTAAAGAAAAGCACAAAGAACGGATGATAAAAAGGAAAGCATGGCAAGATGGTGTGGTTTTTAAAGAGGTACAAGCTTAGTTCTGTTGACAATCACAGGAAAGAAAATCGGTGATTTGACACAGACCACGACTGACCCTGGAGATTTGATGTACTTAATGAAGGCATGAAATCACAATTAACCAACTGAAGTTTGAAAGGGACCTAAACCCATTCATTCTTAAACATGTGAACAGGCTGTTCTTAACAGAGCAGATAGAACGTCCTCCCAAGAACCATAGCCTAAAGCCACAGCTTTAAAATCCCATTGCTGGGGTGGCACCAGGGAATGCTCGCAAAGTCCCATCGGCTTTGGTGCCACAGCAACCCGCAGTGTCGGGCACTGCTTGCTGATTGCCTGCCCTGGACAGAGGGAAGGGAAGGGGAAGGGGCTCAAGAGCAAGTTGAGAAAAGACCAGGAAAATCCGTGGAAGCCCTTTTCTTGGAGGCAGGCGACATCTGCAAAATCTTACTAGTTTGATGCAGACACATGAAGCTTGTGAAAGCTTTACAGTCTAAACAGTTGTGACAGAGAAAGGAGAGTGATAGTCTCTGATAAACAGATCATTAGTACAGGATCTGCCCGTGGCTGCCTGTGCATCCAACCTCCTGTGAGCCTGCGCTGAAGCTGCTGCAACTGCTTAATAAATTTATCAATACCAGTTTTTAAGTCAGTAGCTTGTCATATCTGTTAGGCTGTCCCTCTAAGGAGGCGTAAACAAAGCTGCTGGAGTTATTTGGAAAATGTATTTGCGTATTGTGTGGATTTCAGCCAAGTGTTCCTGCTGGTACAATCCAGGTTTGTTCTAACAATAGTCAAAAGGGAAATAGTGATAACAGCAGGCACTGCAATGGGCAACTCTGGTGCAACTGTCAGAAAGTTATTCCCTGTCACTCTTCTTATTTCCTATCTGATTTTCATATTCATTAACCAACTGCACGTGGTGTATGTAACTCTACATGGGATATAAGATGCCCCAACTCTGATGTAATTTCATTTGCATTTTTCAGCATGGTAACACTATGTCACCATTTCACTTACCACGACTCTAAGTCAAATATCTATATTAGACAACAGCTATTTGATATCTATGCTAAAAAGTGGATTTCTGTTCTAAAATAAACATGGAAAACTAGTTATTTCTTACTGTAAGTACCAATATTTCTCTCTTCTATTTAATCAGATATAGCCTAATCTGCATGTGTTGATCCTCATAAGGGAGTCAAAGCACCTCTCACACACAGTAAGTTGACATTTCTCAGTTTATTACTTCTTTCCCATCAACAAAATACATACATGGGTATGATCTACTCAGTTTTAACTGAAATGTTTTTCTGGATTAGAAAGAAATGGTTCTTTTGGTCCTTGTGGAACACCTGCATTTGGTTTTTTACCAAATGTTATATACTATTTACAAAGACTTCTACAAAAAAAGCAAACCAGTCCTATTTTCCCTGTCTCTTCAAAAGTCACATGAACCAAGCAAAGAGGATTTTTTCCAAGGGCATCTCCTGCAAGAAATTGAAACATTTAACCGTAAGTGTCCAAATGCCACCACTCCAAAACATAATTGCCAGAAAACAGATAGTGGCACCAGCTTTTTTACCTTCCAATGAGTCAAAGAACCCAGGACAGCAGCAAGGACCCACTCAGGGATGCACAGGATGGCCCTGGGGCATCCACTGGGCAACTCCTTCCCTGCTTGCCCTTCTCTGGGGGAGTTTGGTATGGGGGCACGGGGAGGTGACTTTCACCTCCCTCCCCAGCCTCCATGTGTCTCCTGCCCTCTTCATACAGCAGATTCTCAACTGTTGCTAGCCTTGACCTGTAAATCAAAAATGCCTTTACTGTCTGTTTTTCCCTTTTAACATATCAATTGTAATAATAATAATTAAAAAGGACAACTAACCAGAGGGGCACCATCACTGGTTTATAGAGGTTAGAGCTTTTGATGAATAAAGACCTTCCAAGTTCGAAGCTGCTCTTTTACTTGCTATCTCTAAGGCCATGTGCAGCTGACCTGACAAACAGAGAGGTGCAGGGACACGTTTTCTCCCTCCAGCCATCCCCTTAAAATCCCATTTGGTACTGTGCTTCATTGCTCCCACAGGGAACACAAAGCCTAAGGCCATCTCCAGCAATCAGATGAAGAGATTATACAAAGTAAGAGGAAAAAAATAACAGGTATAAAATGACTCAGGTGTGACCCAAACTGCTCTAAATTAACTAAACCAACTGAACATGGCCTTAGCCTTGGCCTGGGATTGCCCCCTCCTATTTGATGTAGAAGGTTTAACTTCACCAAAATAAGCCCATTCTATCAGAAAATTACTATCCAGAGGTATATTTCACTGATTTAGGGAACTATTTACAAACTGGTTGGGTGTTGCTATATAGTCCTGTGATGCTGAAGTTGAGCTTTGCTGGAAATTTCCTGGAGCTCAGAAGAAAACTGGTGGAAAACTGTGCAGCTGCGGATAAGGTTTGCATTTGAGGAGCTAGAAGGCAGATGTGAAATTAAACCTATTGTGTACTTTGTACCAATAGATCTTAAAACATTTTCTCATGGGGCAAAGCACAGCATTTTGCACAGGCTCAAGTCCAGTTGTTGTGTTATTGTTTATTGCTGATGCCAGCTCAGTGCTTCTCATGACAAGGCGGACAAGGGCTCACAGTATCTGGGTGAGTATCAAGTGACCAAGTACCTCTGGAGCCTGCCCACACATCACTGATGGAACCTCAAAATGAACCTCAAAACACTGGGAGCAAAAGCAACGCTGTCTTCTGCTCAGTGCCCCCACTGTGGGAACCCTCTGGTGACCCCAAATGATAAGGCTGATGCCATCCAGTGCTTCCATGCATGGAATCTCCACAAATCTCCAAGCATGCCACCTAAACCTAAGATTTCCAGAGCATTTAGACAAGCCAGCTTTGAAACAGAAAATGGCTGTCCAAGTTGGGAAGTACCTAACAGAGGTGAGGTTGGAACCACCTCCTGCAGCAGCTCCAAGCAGCAATACCCACTGCTCTTTTGTCCTAGGGCTGGGTGTGTCCAAGTCAGTGTCCTCAGTCCCCTGCAGCCAGGAGCAGAGCTTCCTTACGCATCACCTCAGTCTCCTTCCTAGTGGCTGAGGGCTCTCAGGCCTCCTTGGACAGCAGAGCACCAAGGGTATATACCCAGGGTGGGGTGGCATATACCCAGAGAGAGGACAGAGAGCAGTGGGTCTGACAACTCTGTCCTGCCTCTCGCTTGCTTCATCTTCCCCTCAAATAACCCCATCTGCATGCCACCCTTTTTCCAAGGTGAGCCCCTGCTACTTCTAACTCTGCCTTTGGACTTCATGTGGCATCTGCCTCCCCTCACTGCAGAGCACCGGTAACACCATCTGCTTTCCCTCCTTTTCCCTTTCCTCCTTCCAGCCAGAACTCACCAGGTGGATTCATTTATTTCTCTTTCAGAAGTTGCCTGTGACAAGTATCTCTTGCCAAGGGGCTCATCCAGGCTGCCAGGGGCTGGCGGTGAGCCAGATGCTTCAACCACAGCCTGTCCCCGTCAGCCATGAAGCCTGGATGAGCTCATGTCGTTTAAAGTTTTTAACACCAACTCTGTGTGAGCTGATTTTAAAAAAGATTAACCCTTAAGAAGGGCTGTGTAGATTTTTTTTTTTCCCAAGATATGAAGGCCATGTAAAGCCCCTGCTTTACATACCTTCAGGTCTGGGGGCACTAAACCCAACCTCGAACTCCCAGCAGCCACAACAAATCTCAGTTCTGCCTGGATTAGCAGTTAAAAGGTGGGAAATTTCACCCTGGAAGGGTAGCCACTGCACTAGCACAGGTTTCCCACATCATGGGCACTGTCCCAGGGCCTACAGGACCAGGCACAGCTCAGGCAAAAAGTCAGGGCAGGAGAAGAAATTCAAAGTGTCTGCTTTTTTCCCTCAAGCCCAGCATGTGCTCTGGGTGCAGCCAGGAGCATACCCACAAGGTCAGATCACAGTGTGGGCTGAAGTCAGGTGTCCTAAACCTGAGGCTTCACCAAATACCACTGTTGTTAGTGAAGAGCCCA